CCCTGGGTATGGACTCGCCGGGGCTTGTGAAATGGACATATTCATTTGCTCCGGTGGTGTGTAGCCGGGGCTTCTGTCTTGTGCACAGCTAGTAGCGGGCTAGACGAGGACCTAAGTTGAGGAGACGTGCGGGGCACGTGAGTTGTCCTTTAAGTCGAAAGCTATATCCGGACATTGTCACTGGACACTGCGACCGACATCTCCGGTACTAGCCTGGAGAGCTAGTATGATGAGTTAGACATTCTGCGGTTTTTGGGAACTAGAGAGACGCTTCGGCGTCGGGGAGCGAGCGTGCCTACAGCTCCGTCACTAAAGAGGAAATTTGGTAGGGGACTTTACAGTCAACGGCTTTCCGGGGACAACAGTTCGTTGTGCAATACACAGCGGGATGTGAGCATGCCTACAGCTCCGGTACCTATTTGGAAATGAGCTGGTTGATTGGGGGTCAAGATCTGAACTTTGAAGGTCCCTGAGCTTGCACAGATTGTAGAGCCTTTCTCGTATACCGTAAGGATCGGTACGGATGGTCACTATAATCAAAACTTAAGTAGAAAGGAAAAGGAGATGTCAAACAACCACAGCTCGCCAAATGGGTACCGAAAAACTGGTCATTCTTACATTTATTTCGAGACACTTCGCACTGAAGAGCGTTTAGTCGAACTAGAGAACGCCTTGCTAGATATCACCTGAGACGTAACACGACTGTCAGAAGTCTGAAGAGATGGACAAGAGAGTAAATCGCGATGAGTGGAGAAAGGGAGTGGGTCAATAACGGCTGAACAGGAAACAGGAATTATGACTAATATTCGGAAGCTTTCAGATCAGAAGAGTAACGAAGGAGGTTCATTCTCTACGCCTTCACCAGTAGGAGACAGGCGTATGTACGTATGTAAATAAGCACAATATTATGTGAAGTTGGTCACGATTTGACTTCGCCATGTAAGTAGTGCGATTGTATCTTAGTGAACATCAGTGGAATAGCAAGTTTTACTCCATTTGCCTAGACGGTGTAGCTAAACAGTCGGGCTTTGTTAATTGTATGGAAATGTTATTGTGACATAATTATTTATTGATTTGTTCGGGAAAGTTTTGCCTACAAAATTATCTATACAAGGTTATTTGTACAATGCTAACAACAACGTTTATCTCATGACTTATAATAAATATTTCATATTTATATAGATCGCTCTAACGGTGCTAACTCTGTGCAAAAGAAAGCAGTCACCACCAAAATTATTCTTACAATGGCAGCACGCGAGAGGCATTGCTCAAAATACGTATCTAAAAAGTATAAGATGTTGTAAGTCAGTAATACAACTCTGTGAGGCTGTTTATATTTTACGAATAAGCCTGTATATTTATTACATAGAACATACATATACTTCACGCCTTTTTCCCATCGGGGTAGGCAGAGACAACAGTCTTCCACTTGCTACGGTCCTGACACACATCCTTCGCCTCATCAACACGCATCAATGCTTTCATACACGCTCGTCGGTTAAGGGTACTCTTGATCTGGCCCTTTTTTAGGATGGCCTCAATTTGGTCATGATACATTCTCCTTGGTCGGCCCATACCAACTTGCCCGCTCACACTCGCCTTATAAATCTGTTTCGTCACTCTTCTTTCATTCATTCTCTCTACATGTCCGAACCATCTAAGCATCCCTTTCTCTATCTTTGTCACGATATCTTCTTCCACGCCGCAACGCTCTCTTATCACACTGTTCCGTAATTTGTCCATCCGAGTCACTCCAGCCATACTCCTCAAAGCTCTCATTTCTACTGCATTAATTCTACTTTCATGCTTCTTCTGCCAAACCCAACATTCACTACCATACATAAGTGTAGGAACCAGCACCCCCCATGCACAGCCAATCGTGCCTTTTTAGACACTTTCTGGCTACCCATGAAGGTATGCAAGGCACCATTCACCTGATTCCCTGCACACTACATAGAACAACACAGTTTTAATTGCAATATCACGTGATACCCTCTCACGTAAACTATTGTAGTAAAAATATTCTTTGATTTATGCATATTTACACGAATTTGTTAATTACTCATACCTATTGTATTGTGGTTTTTTTTTTAAAATCAACACAAAGTAACTACAAAGTAACATTACTCATAGTCGTTATAAATTTTTGGTTACAAATAACTTAATCCCATTCGTTGGTCCTGACCGAAAACCAGCGCCTTAGGAAACTTTGGCATGCTGTGTCAGCGCCCTTTCACTGCTATGACCACAGAACAATAAATACAGTAGAAGTCGTTAGTTAGCGTCTGACGCATGCCAACTATAGGTCTCGAAAGACCTATCTGAGCTCTTTCCGCCATTATCGCTTTACATGGTATGGTTGTGTCATTGTTTTGTGAAAATTCTGTAAAATCTTGAAAAAATATCTTATTGTGCTGTTTTGAAGTGCAAAAATAATAGCCGCACCAAAAATATATCCCGTGGTAACTTTCAATTTTCTGTTTATCGAAATATTTTTTTTACAAGAAACGAAAGTAAACTTATACCCGTGCAATATGATCGCTTCTTGTTTGGAAAACTAAATTAATAACTCCAATTCGACGTCGTTCAGCAATAAACCGCTAGATGGCAGCACATTGATTGATATTTCAAAATAATATCAAAACAAATTTTAATTATAATTCATTTTCATTCTTTTGTTAATAAATGTCACAAGAATAATTTAAATAATATTTTCACCTCACTAGCTCGGAAAGGCGATCTGCGCGGTTTTAGAATTGCGATGGAGTGCGGTGCATCTATTTCTTTCGATGAAAAAAAAAAGATAATGACACGTTTAAATAAGCGATTGGTCGTACATTACTTATTTATGTAATATAAATCCGTTGGTATATTTTTAAGCGACTTCAAAAAAAGGAGAAGGTGCTCAATTCGACTGTATGTTTTTTTTTTGTATGTACATACATATGTTACGCGATAACTCCGGTATTTGTGAACCGATTTTCATGATTCTTTTTTTGTTGGAAAGAGGGTATTTCCATAGTGGTCCCATTTCATTTTGAAGAACATCATCCACCTCTAAGGGTGGCTGTTCACGCATGATGGTTCATTTTTATAAATAGTGCCTAAATTTTGCTTAAGGAGTAATTATTTTAGTGGTTGGTTTTGCTATTCTCCAATTCAAGGCGTTTTTCTCTCAATATACTTTGAGTGGTGAGAACCCATTTTTATTATCTCCTGTGTCAAGTCCTGTACAGAGGCGAACTAGGGGATTTTTCAATAAAACTTGGCAAATAGACGTAATTCCACGTACTTTTGAGGTCGGTTTTTTTACTACTCTGTACTGAGAATATTATTATAATATTCTTATTATAACTAATTATGTTTATTGAATTACTTTAATTCGTCGAAGAACTAAAATAATTTCAATAATCACTTAATCACATAAAATAATAATAATATCAAGTGACGGGACGAACAAGTCGTGCGCCTGATGGTGAGCTATACGCCTGTCCATAACAGTTGCAGTGCCACTCAGAGCTTTAAATCGCAAAGATCTAAGGGGCACTGCCACTGCGCCCGTCACCCTGAGACATAAGTTGATATGCTTGAAATTTCACCAGCACCCTGACCCTTCAAAACCGGAACACAGTAACGCTGACATTACTGCTTAGCGCCAGAAATAGGTAATGTGGCAGTACTTCCCTGGACGAACTCGTTCACAAGGAGCTTTGCTGCTACTAACTGTACTTATAGATCTTCAAGACATATTGCATTAAGTATACACCCATTTGTGTACTCGTGGCTGTGTAATTGCAATGCAATCCAACATTTTATTTCATCATCATGATCAATGAATGAATGAAATAAATATTTTTTTATTGCGCCTAAAATGACAGTTAAAACACAAAACAGTAACTTACGTATCAAAATAGCAAGTTAATGTGCAACAGGCGGCCTTATTGCCATGAAGCAATTGCTTCCAGACAGCCTTAGGATAGAAATTTGGGATATGCAAAAGACGTGCAAGTAACGAATGTCATCATAAGTACGAGTACACTACATAATATATAAATAATTAGAGTTTGTATGTATTATGTACAAATTGTCTATATGTATACTATATACGCATGTGTCATGTTGACTACAGTTTCGCAAGTTGCGCATTTTGTAAGGTAAGATTATTCGACATATTCTAGCGACATAGCGCATTATTTTCGCCCCATAAAATAATGGGACTTCCAACAAGGAGGGTTGTAAGGCGAGAGCTTATGCCGTCCTCTAAGTTGCCCTAGACTTTTATATAAATGTATAATATTATTGAAAACGTATTTATCGTCATTGAATGGATTCGATAAGCAATAATGAGACTTATTATTATATACATTTAGGTATTATACTTCATGACACGACAGGGTATCAAATAAAACAGCATTAAAATAGTGAAACAATATTATTATATTAAATTATAAATGCAAAATTTTATGTCTCTTCGAGACAATAATTTATTATTACAATAGCATGTAAATAAATAACTTATATTTAGACAAATAATCAGACGAGCAATTCGCTTACGCTTACATTTTCTCGATTTCGACATGTTTTATGTCGAACTACAAATGTCGACAGCTCCTATTGTTAAAAAAGTTTATTATTAGAAATGCTAGGTAGATAGATCTTAAAATATCTATTAGTACAGGATCAAAAGCACTTCCAGCTTGACATTTAAGCGTGAAACACACTGAGAGCGCGTGTCGGGTCGGGAGCGCGGCGGGTGTAATTCCGTGTATTTATATGAACGACAAACACAACACACGCGGGCGCTGGACGGGCGCAGATCGGTCCCGCCGCCGCGCACCCGACAGTATGTTTCACGCTTTTACATTGGAATACAAACAAAATTCCTGGGCTTTAGCGATTCCTACGCATTGGAAATGCGATATTTTCATAACTTTTCTCTATAGCGCAAGAATCAGGCCTAAGATATTAGTACAGTAAATTGAGCCCTTTGAATATTTTTAACTATTATTACCTACTTCAGTCGTTCTGTTATGACTTTGAAATTAAGTTTTTCAAATCTTTTACACAGAGATCTAACGGGCAATTCGAAGGCAAAGGATTTTAAAGGTTTAACCAACAAGGTATACTGGGGGCTGTAGCTATTGTACACTATACATGGTACATCATATGGATTGTTCACAGCTTTGTTACCAGCAGCACTAGTTCGACATGGCGTAATTCGCGCGTGAATCGACATAAAAGAGATATAGTAATGTCGCTTTACGCGCAAGTCGCGCCCTGTCGTGCTGGTGCTACAATAGTTTTATTAGATAAAAATAATGTACTGTACGCATGGCACACACAGCGTTGGTAGTTTTCTAGTATAAGCTAACACTTTTGACACCGTTAACGACCATAGCAAAACTAGATTTGACAAGACCTATTTAAACTGGTTTTTGTATAGCGCGTCGTGTGGTTGTTTGTACCTTTGCTACCGTATTGACAGAAGACCTTAGGATCTTAGACCTAAGATTTCATGTTGTTGACCTGGAAGTTGATGCCGAGCAAGGCTGGGTCGAGGCCAGCGATAGCAGTACCTACGGGGCGAGCGATAGCGATCCCTGAAGATGCAACAGCCGTCCCAACAGGTCGAGAGGCTGCGAGACCGTTCTCGCCAATTACAGCTAGACCTGTAGGAAAATATTAACAATTAGAAATTGACACGAAGGTATTTCGACTCATCCGTAGAACAAAGATCTATGTGCAAGACTACTTGTTCTCAGGACATAGTACGTTTCGTTCCTTCCTCCTTCGCTGGGGATGTCAGATCGGCCGACCGATATATTTCCGAAACGAAATGAGATATATAAATTCTCAAAACTCTTTTACATAGGCCTTAGTTTGAACTACGAAATTATTCTCGTAACGTACTTATTCTCTTTTCGCTATGTAATCACATCGGACTCTGGTCTTCGGATGAGTCGATTTATGTATGCATTAACGTGGCTATTGGGGAAAATTCCACTAAATGTGTAAGAAAATGCAATTTACTATTTCCTAATTAATAAAAAACTATAAATAAGCTACATACGACCTTATTGAAACCAGCAGTTTTTTGATAACCTTAGCAGACCATTAATTTTACATCAAAAAAACACATCGAAAATGTAAATATCACATTAAAAGTTATTTATTATGCCCCGTAATCGGTTCAGTAAATACGATTACAAATTACAACATTTTTTTACATGTCATTACTGTTAAAGGGTAATTTTCCAGAAAAATTAATAAATTAAATAAAAAAATTAAAATAAACTTGTTTAGTTGAAAGCCACTTAAAAAAGAACGAGATTTAAAATGAATTTACAAGAGCGAAAAAAAACCTTTTTAATGACTCCGTCGTTTTCGTTAAGCAACTGCAACTTTTGACAAGTGTCAACGTTAAATGTAAAAAATTACGGGAAAAATATTGGAAAAATATCCGGACAAATATTTCTTTTTCTGAAAAATATTTTCCATGACTCAACACTACGTGTGATTTATTAATTAAAAAATGTATGAACGACGCGTTCGACGACCTCAGTTCGCACACTGAGCGCTGGATAGGAGGTCATGAAATAAACTCTCCTTATTCGTTAATTCTGGTCTGGGCGTTCTGAGTAACACTAGTAAAAGCTACGGATCGAATTCCGTTGCTCTGGTACTCACAGTACAGGAAATTCTCTTATTTGAATTTGTTCTTATTATTATTATAAATGTGTCTGTGCTCACCTACAGAGGAATCAAAGCCAGTAATGATTAGGAACGCACTAAGCGCAATTTCGACATTATTAACACAATACAAAGCATAAATTAAAAGAAATCACTACCCTCGGATTAATTTTCATTAGCTCTTCGAAGATTTTTTAAGTCACTGGCCAGTTTCTCTCTATAGAACAGCTTTTCCGAAACTGTAGAGGCATTTATAGATTTGAAATAAGCTATTTTTCATAGCATGTGAACTTAGAATAATAACGCATAGAAACCTAGTCCGCAAACGCTAAGTGAGGCAAATTGAAGCGCGCCCAATGGGCCTACACGAGCGGGTGGGCCTTCAGTGCTCAAGGTCAACTTGCGCCGCGAACAGCTCCAGAATTTTACTTAAAAATGACGAAATGTGCGGTAAATGAGTGTAAAAATACGTCAGACAAACATAAAATAGATACTAACATCACATTCCACAAGGAAGTAACGCGTTTCAACTTGTATTTTTATATAAATATTCACTAAAACCGAAAATTAACCTACTACTAAAACTAGCCTACATGAATTCGATTTTTGCCTCACTTGTGACAGTTCGTTTGAAATGAAACTATCATTCTATGCGTTATTATTCTAAGCATGTGAATTTGAAAACACTTACCGACTGGCCTAGCGTCAGCAATGGTACTACCCTCCAATATCTCGAGTGGTATACCAGGCTCACCAGACTCAGAAGCATCAATCCCAACGCCTTCTTCACCCACCTTTAGAAACAAAATTATATCTTTTATATTAAAAAATGAACCAACCTCAAAAGTTCGTGGAATTACGTCTATTTGCCTAATTTTATTGCAATCGGTTACCGGAAAGTGTTGAAACCGGATTCATCCCCTAGTTTAGTTCAAATTTAAATGGGACTAATACAGAGGTACCCTCTTTCCAACAAAAAAGAATCATTAAAATCGGGTCACAAAAACCTCCTCCTTTTTTGAAGTCGGTTAATAAAATGTTTGTTTGGAAATAACATCTAATTGCCATCGGTTTTTATGAACAGTAGCGCCCCCTTTATAGTATTTGTGTAACTTTACGTATTTGAATAGTCGACTCAAGCTTGTAGCATCTAAACTAGTTTAATAGCTAACGAACTCGTTCTTGATATTGCTGGTAGATGGCGTTTTACTGCTTTTTCTTAACCCTTTCATGGACTGACAGTGATTGCCTACCGTAAAATTAAATATTAGAATATGATAGAAAAACCAACTACGGGCTTTTCTGTTCGATTTCAAAGTGCTTTCTATGTAGTTGCCGCGTACTGCTTATACTTAAAGAAGTACCAACATTATAGGTATGCACTGACAACATTCAATTATTTACATTGAATCAATATTTGTGTGCGGTCTAAGTACTGTACCCACATGAAAGGTTTAGGCAAACAACTCGCCAGTCAGTTTAATACAGCGTAACAAAACAATTTGTCTGCAGAACACAGACCAGATGGTCTGTGGTCTGCACCCACTTTATTTAGTGTTTCTAACATCGAAACTAAATGTTCAATCGCCGAGTCCTTTCTATTTTTAAATTGCGTGTAAACATTCTTACTTACATTTTCTTCATAATGTTCGTATTGTCGTTTCGTCATATTGTTTTTAAAAAGCGTATCCACGTTATCTCCCACTTCTTCAATCAGTTTGATAGTATTTGATGCCGTTTCTCCAAGAGACGCTAATTCACTTTTAAATCTACCTTTATCGCTAGTACTTAAACCTCCGGTCTTTCTTCCAAGATTGTGTAGCTTCAAGACACTGTTAGATAACGTTTGCAGGCTTTGCAAATTAGCTCCCAACACCTTTGAAAGAAGATTTTCATCGGTATTCTTGATAATGTTTTCGCTGCTTATGTTTTCTTCTGAAACAATCTTTTCACTAATGATGTTGCCTCTGTTGTTCTGCCTTATTTCAAGATATTGGCCTTTCGCTCCGCCGTAGAAAGGTAAGTATTGCACGGTTCCCCTGAAAACATTCAACATCGTTAAGTATTTTAGTAGCAGTAGAGTTCCTTGCGAGAGAGTTCGTCCAGGGAAGTACTGCCATCTTACCTATTTCTGTCGCCAAGCAGTAGTATGAGCATTACTGCATTCCGGTTTCGAAGGGTAAGAGAGCTGGTGAAATTATAGGCACATGGAACTTATCAACTTATGTCTCAGGACGTCGTAGCAGTGTCTTTTGTGATTAAAAGCTCTGAGTGGTACTGCAACTGTTATGGACAGGCGTGTCGCTTACCAACAGGCGCACGACCTGATCGTCCCGTCACTTAGTATTTATATAAAAAAAATTAACATTGATGTTAGGTAACATACTAGTAAAATAATAAAGCGATTATCACAGTGAAATGAATCTTGAATAGTAATTTATATTGTTAAATAATGACCCCTAGTTACTAGCAGACTTACCACGATATTACTTCTTCGTGACTATAGAGCTTGTAACGTGGTATAACCGTTCCAAAATATCGGGAAAAAATGTCTTAGGGCCATGACAATGATTTCAAAGCGAGGCGTGAAGGCAGCGGGCATGCCGCGATTTCGCAACGAGGACACCGCGTACGCGCAGCGAACACACCACGGCTGCGCAGAGAACTCGCCGCAAATGGCTCCGTGGACGCCATGTTGTACACAGAGTATTTTTTCTTCTTGTCATCATAATTTAGTAATTATATTTTCCATGATTACCCCGTTAATAAAGAACTAAGAAAGTGTTTATTATTAACAGTTCTGTATTATAAGTTTTAAAAGCGTACTTTATAGTAATTACGAGCCTTTCTTCAGGTAAGACTAACTATCTAAATCGTGTATTCTTCTTCATCTTCATGTTTTAAGTTATTTTGATTCGTAAAATATAAGTTTTCACATTGGCAGGCAGCAACGATATGTTTTAAGATTATTTTTAATTCGTTTTCAAAATACGTACATACGAATTGCTTACTTCTTGTTGATTATCCCAAATTCGTCGTTGCATCTGCTGCCAATTACATTTTTTGCGTTTTCGTATTAACAAATCTAAGTGTAATGTTTTAGAGATGCCACGAGTAGTAATTTGGCCGAGTATCGTATATTCGGCCACACTCTTGGCTCAAGCGCCGAATGTTCGGCGTAAGATCTGTGCATTTCACGCGCTACCTGTTACGACCTGTCTCATTGCGCTGCGTGCAGAGGTAACGAGTAGTGGTAGAAGGTGGGGTGTTTTTGTTGAAAAACGATAGAACGATATAATCAATACATGACAGTTTCTGGGCCTGTTTTGAAGAAGTCGCTACAGATATATAATAATATTCAAATTGATATGGATAAAAGTTTAGTTAGAGATTCATTTTTACTTGAAAACTGTTCGCTTAGATCGGACGGCAGATCCTTACAAGTGGTGGTCAGTGAACGCAAAGCACTATCCAAGCCTGTCAAAATTTGCTAAGATTTATGTATCTACTGGCAGTAGTGTTTGTAGTGAGAGGCTATTTTCAGAAGCAAGAATTGTTTATGAGGAAAAGCACAATCGTTTGTTACCAACCAGTGCTGAAAAAATTGTTTTCATTCATCACAACCTGCCACTAATTGATTTTAAGTATTAAAGCAATAATTTGTGATTAAAGTACATGATATATTTTGAATAATATGCGCTTTTTTTCATTATTTGATATTCGGTATCCGGCCGAATAGTCGTAGTATTCGGCCAAATACCTATAAATAAATAGTAGCCGAATATTCGTGGCATCTCTAAATGTTTCCTCAATGGAATCTATTTTTTACTGACTGTACGGAACGCAGATCACACGCCGCGTACTCGCCGCGCGCTAGCGATAACGCAGCGCGCACGCGACGGACTTGCGGCCAGCCCGCTGCGTTCTCGCCTCGCTTTAAATTCGTTCGCAAATCGCCAATGTGATATAGCTCTTATCATTGTCGTGGCGAGAAAACGGTAACTTGTTATAATCATTTAGTGAGTAACCCTCAAAATATAAATATTATTCTCTATATATATGTAGATATTAATAATGTATGTATTTATAGTTATCATTTATTTTTAGAAGATATTCTTTAATGCACCTCCCTTTGCAGCTCTTAAATTTGTATCCTAAGGTAGCCTGGGAGAGATTGCTACTTAGCAATAAATAAATAAATAAATAATTAAATTCTTAAAAGTTTTATAATCGCTAATCCGTACTTATAATATTGTAGTGCTTTTTATACCTCTCAAAAATTGTAACGAGGCCTTGCACCCGAACATGCGATGTTCTTTTGCTAAGTTGACAGGTTTATGTAGGTAAGTAAGTACTTAAGTTAATGGTGGGAAAGTAATTGAACCAGATCTTTGGTTCTGTACTTTTCCAATGCATTAATTACGGGATGGATAGTTACTCTCAATATCGACCTTATTGAAACCTGTCCACAACTGTACTTGACTTTTTAAATTACTTAGCTTCGGCACTTAACCTTTTTTAAAGTTTTGTAACAACATTTTGACAGTGACATATAAACTGCTGCTTGTTTTTAATTTAGAGGATGGAAAAATACTAGTCTAAGGCATTGATGGTCTAAGGTTTTTAAAATACACTTTTGGATAGTGATTTTTGATTCCGATGACATTTGGTGCAGTAAGCGTTATAACTTACCACTTACATTGTATTATCGTGTTAACTTATAATTAACTTGTTTTCTAAAAATAGAAAGCCTTTAATTTCGGCTGTGCACTGACTGCGACTTAAAAATAAATACAAATATGCTCACTGTGTATCTTATTTCTTTGCTATAAGGTTGATTTTAATACTTGTGTTCTGAAAGCACTGACCGTTCTTATTTTTAATTATTTTATAGACTAATTGGCGAGCTGTTACTTTATGTAGATATTGCCCCAGATTACCAGACATACTTCATTTTAAATGTAAATTTGCTACTAGCAACTTACGGATTCCTATTGTTGACATTTTTTTCTTTAATAATAACTAAATAATAAACATTAGACAACATTGTTCTGATCCCAAAATATGTAACTAAAGCACTTGTGTTACGGACAAACACCCAGACCCGAGACAATATAGAAAAATTGGTGTTTCTACGTTGACCCGGCCGGGGATCGAACCCCGGACCTCAGAGATGGCGTCACCATGAAAACCGGTGTGCAAGCCACTCGACCACAGAAGTTGTCAAAATGTCGACATATGACAACAATTCTATAATATTAGCTAGGGCAGTCTGTCTGTGCAATTTTCTATCATATTATCTACGTATTAACGATCACTTTTTAATCACTTTTTTTCAATAAGGCTATATTTATCATTCGCAATAAATAAATAAAACCAACATCAAATTATTCTTCAATCGTTTTAATCTTCTTTTAATCGTAACTAAAATACTGACATCATTAAATCGTAATCACAACTTACTTAATTCTAGCTTACAAAAGGTCAGAAAACAATTTCAAGTTCACATTTCCAGTCGAAATAGTTTTCCGATAAATCAGACTTCACAACATTTAACTATATTGTAATAAATTCATAAACATATAGGTCAGATTGAGCATGGGCAATACCCCCTGGACCAGCAACAGCCGAAGCCGAAGGAGTATGTATGATTGTCGCTGTATTGCCTTTAGCCAACACAACCTTAGAGACAGGGTTCGCTATAGCCACTCCTTGTCCACTCAAGGCTTGCGCGCTTGGTTTCACGTATATTGTGAATTTTGTAGCATCAAACCGCGGTTTTCCTTCATTAAAGTCTAGTCCATTGTAATGGTATTCATCCGCTCCTGAATTGAACCAGTTCTCCTCTCTATGGTATCGTCTCCATTTCCAAGGTCCTCGGTAATATCTAAGAAAGGAAAGAAAGAGTTAATACGCACTCATTTGAGAAGTAAGAGATATAAGAAAAGAAAAGGATGATCCCATCTTATATTATGTATATTTTACATACACCGTCTTGGTACTTCATTCTAACTGTTCTCAGGGCTCTTATAGTTAATGATATGTATATCAGGATATATCTAAGGAGAAACGCAATTTAAAACTACTGTGCTCTGTAAGGATGGTAATAAATGATAGGGCCTGTCGCAACAACTTTTCCTTCAGGTATAGCTTGTAGTAATCGAGGTACAGAACCATCTGTTGCTGATTGTTGTTGCAGGCGGGTCACCACAGAGTTGAGATCTGCATCTGGAGCTAAAGCGACGATTCTTGCAGCTGGCCCGGCGACTGCTAGTCCCCCAGGCTGAGTATAGGCTAGTCCACCAGGACCAACGATGGCAGTACCTCCTCTCCCAGCTGTTGCGACACCTCCAGGCCCCGCAATCGCTACTCCACCTCTTCTGACCTTCAGTCTATTAATGAAAAATCCAGGACTAGGAGCCACAGGTTTTCTGTTTCCAAACCAGTTAAAATCTCCAAACGGAAATCTCAAATCGCCTTCATTGTCGCTATTTGTTTTCGTATCTTGAATAGGCGGATCTTCTTTTTTCACTGGTTTTTTAACTCCTAGAGGTTTTTGTGTAAACAGTTTTGTTACATCTTTATCAGCATCAATTTTCTGGATCGGAGCTGATTTTGAAATTGTTCGTTTCTTTATTTTTCTGCCTTGTCTTGAGCTAACAACATTTACTGGATCTAGTGAAATCGAATTGTCACTATCATCAATTTCATCTATTGAAATCTCCGGCTGTATATTGCCTGTCTCTGAAGATTTTTGTCTTCTGTTACATACATCAGCAGACTGTCCATATTCCAAGAGATTCTCCCAACTTCCTCCCTGTAGGTAATGTAAAAGAGGATCTTTTAAGAGAATAGGAAAAAATGGAGCAAGGGGCCATGGGACTTGAAATGGCAATGATGGTACTTGTCTTAAATAATTGGCATTTAGAGAATTGAGATCATTTGTAGCAGGTGTACCGTAAACTCCGTTAGCCGAAGGCATTACCACAACTGGCAAGCTCGTTACGTATGGAAGAGGCATATACCCTACAGCTTGATTTCCCAGTACATTATTGGTAAGACCTGGCTGCACGTAAGGCAAAGCCCTTGCGTTTTCGTATCTTGCGATGTCATCATTTAACGAGTTACTTTCTTCGTGAATAGACACTTTCTGTTGTCCGGACAATCCATTAAGTTTTCCGGCAGCTATTATTTGTTGAATTTTCTCCAAGATAGCCTTATCTAATATGTACCCTCCACCATAAGGTTGGGTGTTGTAATTTATTTGATGCCGTTTTGGTTTCTGTAATCCCTGGTTGATTTCTTTTATTTTCTGTAATATATCTCTAGTGATGCCTCCCTCAGGTTGAGTGTATGATGTTTTTATTTGATCTTCTAGAGTTCTTTCATTGCGTTTGTCTACATTTTCCATTTCATCAGTGAATTTTTCCGTAGGCTCCTCGTTCAACGAGGTCGTCGACCTGGAAATCACGAAACACACATTCAACATTTGACATTTGTAAACATTCATGCTGCCACTATACAAGCATCATATTAATTTAGCGTGAAATACCGAAGCGGTGACTTAGCGTACGTTAAAAATAAATAGCATACTTGAACCATGGACTCCCTAACAGCGCAGGTTTTAGTTTCTTCAATCCACTGGGTCAAAGCCTTTGTTCTACTGGTTAGTTTGTGCTGTGCGCTTTTGTTCACGTTAATTGCAACAACTACAGTACAACTATTTTCTTAATATATCTCGACACTCTTCACGTTTCCGAATGCATCTAAATACAAATTTTCATGTCTAGTAATTACTAGATTTTTTATCTACGTACTTTATGCTTAGTTTGTTGTGATTGACATGTCAACTATCCAGAGCTGTAAAATAATTCTTCTTTTTGTTTTATAATAACCTTTACTCTTTAACAATATACCAAGCAAACTAACAAAAATGTAACCAAAAGACAGAGTAGTACCTACGGTACATACTTCCAAGTCGATTAAATGCGTTCGGTTTGCATCAAGTGCAAAGAGCAACAAACAGAAATCCGACGCCAGCCGAAACATGAAGTTTGCCGAGAGATACTCAGAAAATAATTCTACTGTTAGCGAAATTATAACATAACCCTCTTTTGTTACCACATAAAACAATAGCTTAAAGACGAGTTTCGTATGTTAGAGGTCTTCATAAAGAAGTCATGGTGTAAGTAACACTGCGGTTTCATGAAGCATAAGTGCAAATCCCGTTCTTCGACCAGTCATTGTTAGACGCTCTCAAAATTATACGCATTTGTAAATTCGATCCACAACCCGAATTCAGATGGCAAAAATTCCAGTGTAATTTTAAAGCCGTTAATTTTGTTCAGATTATGCTGATTATCGGTCTGATTTCGGTGTCATTTATGTAAAAAAAAAAAGTAAACTTACTCATTGTTTGACGGACGAGAGTATGCCTCCAGAACGAAGCAACTGATTAAAACCTGAAATCAATAAAAATAACGTTAAAGACCATTTGAATGAACCTATAAATATTTACCTATAAATTTTTACAATTTTAAGGCACTTATGTATTCTTCCATAAGTAAAACGAGAAACATGTGAAATAATAAAACATCTCGACATTGGTTTTGATTTGGGTGTTACGAGGAGTGCCTAATTTTGTTGCTCTTGTAATCATAGACAACCTACTGACGAAGCGTAGAGCTGATCTGTTGTTGCATTTTACAACAACAGATCATAAATAAAGTTTATAATTTATAATTAAAGAATCCTTAGTTAAGGTAACGTAAGGCTGTCTTGTTCATAGTCATTAATATGCCACTTAGAGCTTTAAATCGCAAAGGTCTTAGGGACACTGCCACAGCACCCGTCACCCTGAGACATAAGTTGACAAGTCCCATGTGCTTGTAATTTCACCAGCACCTTTACCCTTCAAAACCGGAAATCAGTAATGTGAGCATTACTGCTTGGTGGCAGAAATCGTAAAAGTAAACTAAGGCGAACTCTTTCACATGGAGCTTTACTGGTACTAAAGCTAAACTGATCATTGGCATCATTGACTTACAAATAAATGGACGACGGGTCTAATACAAAAACCACGAAAAAAATGTCCCAAGTCAACCTATTTAAACGTAGTGACATGTAAAGGAATATGAAAAAGCTAAATCGTTGAATTTAAATTGTAATGTCATCGCAGTACTGTCTAATTTTGCTTGCTTC